TCCCCAAGACCAGCGGGACAGTGTAAAAGAGGTGAGGCCTGTAACTTCATGATGTGGTTCTTTGGTGGTCCGATTAGACCTCTACAAAACAAACACATCTGTCTTCAGATCCTACAGCAACTCTATGAGATCACTCAGGCTCACTCTCTCCATGACAACAGTGGACAAAACAGGTAAAGTGTTTGAGTCCTATCTTCCAATCAGATGAGGAGTCTGTCTACAGCTACACACAGGCAGAGTGCGACAAGTGCATTATGGGATACGTGGTCAGCACTGAGAGGCCACTTAACATCAGGAATGCTTGTGAGGTAATAAATGAGGGGTGTTCCATGTCAAGTCTAATCTGGCTTTTACACAGTCAGTTTAGGTCACTGCTGGACTCTGGTCCAGGATTCCCCTTGTAACAGAAACCCTTTTCAGATTGAGTTTTAATCCAAGGTGCTTTAAATTTGCCATAATGTACCGAGTTATTCAGAGCTAGATCTAGAGCTTTTAACAGTTTACAGACTATAAATCTGGGGTGGCTTCAAAGATCTTACTGCACTATTCAATAATGAAAAATGTGTAAACAAATAAATATTTATAATAATGTAATTCCAATAATGAAAATGGAAACCAGTGTGTTAGTTGAATGTGTCTGAAAATGAAGATGAGGATGATTTTCTTGGAATTGGATAAAGGGGTTGAATATCTTATTACATTTTTAAAGATAGTGTGTTTCATTTAGATTTCATTATTGTATTTTTGCATAGATATTAATATTTATGCACAGATATTAATAAACAGCCAATACTGTTATATAGATAAACTGATAACCAGTAAATGGCAGATATTACATTTCTATACTAATTGGTCTAAATAAAAAAAAATAAAATAAATAAATGCTAAAATAAATCATTTTAAACACTACAAGTGAATTTATGCATCACAAAATAATACAGTTTGTATGAAGTAGTAAGCAATGCGCAGATAAACTGATAACAAATGTATGTCAAATATTAAAATGTTATACTTTTTTGTCTAAATAAATTAATAGTAAAACACTAAAAACTCATTTTAAATGCTAGACTGAAATTTTTTTTTTTGATGTTAGAAACAGTTTTCAATTACAAATTGCTAGTAAATTTCACAAATAATTAAAGGAACACATTGAATTAAATATGAAATTTTAAAGTAGACAGACTGAAATAGTATTTTCTTGTAAAAATGTACTCCAATAATCTTTGTTTTATTTACAGCTTTGAATTTTTTTACTAGAATAATAATATAATTATATAAAGTTATAATTTCTTTAATAATTTAATTACATTTTTAAAATTGAATTTAGACCTTTCAACATATTACAGAGCAATATGAATATGGAAATTCATTTTAAGGTTTGATAAAGATTACATTTAACCGTGTTATTTAATTAAGTGTTAATAAATATTACATTTAAGTGAGCATTAGATGATGGCAAAGGTAAGGTTCCATTGTAAAAATAGGGGAAATGGGCGTGTACAGTTGAATATGTAATGTTGACTGATACCAATAAATAAAAAAAACAGTAACATATATATACTGTACTTATATGATAGCAATATATCATGTGTCTTTAGCTTTACTGGTCATGAGTATGTGTGGGAACGAGGGGTGAGATTGTGTGTGCTTGTGAGTCTTTATACGCTCTGGGACATGTGCGTGGCAGTGTGGAAAGGGAAATCCTTCCCTGCTCTAAGCTTTAAACCCAGATTTGGCACTGTGACAGCTGACAGAATGTAAGCAGAGAAGAGAGATACAGAATGAATAGCAGAGATAGTAATCTGTACTTTACCAGTATCTCTCTTTTATAAACATGCCACTTAACTCTTATTGTTAGCCTTCTCTAGGGTTCCAACCCTGTTACACCTCTGAAATTTCTCACCTTTGCCTGTTGGCGTTTTTTTTGTTTGTTTTTTTGTATTGCAGGGGCCTTCTAAAAGATGGTCCATATAGAGCATAAAGAAACCAATTGCTCTTTCCAATGTTCTACAAGGTAAATAAATGTACATTTATAATTTGACCATGATATACACAAAATAACAGGTCGTTTTTTAAACCCATAATATTGAAAGTCACATAAGTGTTCAGTATTGCTCTTTAATACTTTAGCAAACAAAAAAGTTATAAAACGTTATGTATTCATATGTATACAATGAGTTTAGCATAGTTAAATGTAAAATCACATGTGTAACTATAATCTTTAGGAATTATGACAGCAATGACATCATCTACATGGATGCTGTGCATGTGCAAAACTCGATGGAGACGCTGAACATTGACCTGTAAGTTTATCTGATTGATTCACTGGTCACTTTGCTATTCATATAATATTATTAATAACACCTGGAGTGCTGGTATAAATAATTTTGCTAATGGACAGATTGGGATCATATGTCTACATGGAAATCAATGACATATTTTCATAGTTTTTCTTCCTTTTTATATATATTTATTGTCACTTTAGGGAAAACCATATCATCATGTGACCAAAAAGTACCTCTTATCTGGGATTTTCCATGTCTATTTCAGTCACACTTTAGTTTGGGGACCAGTTCTCTCTATTAAATAACTATTAACTTGCCTCAATAAACTCCTAATTTACTGCTTATTAATAGTTAGTAAGGTAGTTGTTAAGTTTAGGCATGGGGTCGGGTTAAGGGATCTAGAATATGATCATGTAGAATAAAGCCTTAATATGTGCTTTATAAGAACTAAAAAACAGCCAATATGCTAATAATATGCATGCTAATAAGCAACTAGTTAATAGTGAGAATTGGTTTCTAAACTAAAGTGCTACCTCTGTTTCTGACATGAACTGTTTTTGTGTGTTCTCTCTCAGATCAGGAGTTTGATCAGCACACCTCTGAGAGGCAAACAGGGAAATAACATCAAATATCCACAGTCTCTAGTATTGATCCAACAAACCAAAGCTCTCAGTCATCACGCTTTCCCAGAGGATTTTTTTTTTCAGACTTTTCTCTTTTGCACATATATGCACGTATTATAATATATTGCATACAGTAAGAGAACTATATATTTAACATGGAACAACATAGTTCAGATCATTTGGTTTAGAAAGACTTTTGATCTTGGAAAATCTGTCTCCATTTGCTCTTTTTTCAGTCTCACTGATGCAATTAAAAAGATCTCACTTGTTGTTTTTCTCAGTTTAGATACAAATAGTACAGCCCATTCTGTGAATCTCCACAGGAATTTAGAGGGTTGACAATGATATTGGTATGAAAATAGTCTGTTTAGACTAGACACATTATTTTTTATGCTTTCTTCGTATAGGTGTGTGCCAGCTAGTCAATAAAATGGCTCTCACTGAGACCGAAGTTTTTAGTTGAGCTGATGAGCACCTCCTGGAGGACTTTGCGGTTTACTGTGCTCTGGGATTACAAAAATTCAACACGCAGCAGACGGCAGATAAAACCAGAGCCAAGCTGGCTGTGACTAAAGAGGTATGAAATGCCATGATGACATTCCTTTTGAGTCACTGGAAATCACTTCATATTGTCAGAATAATGAGCAAGTGATCTGAATGCTGACTAGTGGGTCGTTCTTGAACGATTCGTTCATTTTGAACGAATCTTTAATGTGACTCGGGAGGAACGAGTCGTCTCGGGGAGTGATTCGTTCAGTCGCGCATGCGCAACATGCCATAGGTTCTGTACTGGAATTAGTCAAGTAGTTCACCTGTTTCGAGTCTTCGGGTTTTTCCGAGTCATTCGTTCATCACGTGACAGCCCCATACGCTTACCCTATGCAGTCTGAGCCGGAAAGAGAATTGATTAGTTCATCTCTCGAGTCTTCGGGTTTTTCCGAGTCATTCGTTCATCACGTGACAGCCCCATACGCTTACCCTATGCAGTCTGAGCCGGAAAGAGAATTGATTAGTTCATCTCTCGAGTCTTCGGGTTTTTCCGAGTCATTCGTTCATCACGTGACAGCCCCATACGCTTACCCTATGCAGTCTGAGCCGGAAAGAGAATTGATTAGTTCATCTCTCGAGTCTTCGGGTTTTTCCGAGTCATTCGTTCATCACGTGACAGCCCCATACGCTTACCCTATGCAGTCTGAGCCGGAAAGAGAATTGATTAGTTCATCTCTCGAGTCTTCGGGTTTTTCGAGTCACTGGTTCATCACGTGACAGCTCCATAAGCTTAACCAATGCAGTCTGAGCCGGAAAGAGACTTAATAATAATAACCAACTCTTTATTACCTTTGTTACAACATTCAGTGTTATGGAAAATAACCATCATGACAGAAATTCAAACATTTAGAAACTGTAAATCCTAAAGCATTTTATAAGTGGAAAATAAATGACCCTTTTCTTTCTACTCTTAAAATATGGGCCGGTATTAACAAGTTTATGTTACCTAACAAGATGAAAGAACTTTACTATAAGATTCTTCATATGTACTATCCCTGTAATTCTTTACTCTCAAAATTTAAGTTGGACATCTCTTCACAATGCACATTCTGTAATTCTAATTTGGAAACAATATCACACTTATTTTTTGAATGTGAGTATGCAAACATGCATGAGTATGCAAGCGACAGCTGAAAACTCATCTCTTTCGAAGCTACTTGACTTCATCATCTTAAAAAAAAAAGATCTCTCTTTATTTATTCCTTCTCTTTCTAGCTTGTACTTATTTGAACAATGTCTAAGAACTTGG